ATTTTCTCAAACCACCCTAAAGAAATACACCCTAATAGATGGTTTGATTTATGGACTTTTTTTTTTTTTTTTTTTTATGATATTGAGATTTCACAGTAGAATTTCTATGTCAATGATTTATTATATTTAGGATTTGAAATCCCATCTAGGTTTGATTGGTAAAATTATATGATATTTATATTTCTCAAATCTGGTTTATTTTTCCTATTAACTAAAGAATTTCGATTTTTATATTCTAAATGGCATAATTATCTTATGATGGATTTTATTTACTTTAATAAACTAAACCTCCAATTTATTATTAATTTAAATTAAAAATGTATCAATAATTGTACAGGGATGACAATAAGTCCGGTAAACACGAGACTCGACCCAGACCCGACTTATTTATTTGAAATTAGGTCCAATTATTCGAGCATAGAGTATGCGCCTGGGTCAGGGTCATGTTCGGGATATTCTAATCGGGTCCAAATCGAGTCTAGGGTCTAAGGGCAAACCCGGACTCGAGACCCTAGACTCGATTTATAATATTAATAATATTCTCATTTTTGTCCCATAACAAACTATCCAGTTTTCTATTTTAGTTCGTCGTATAACAAAGTATCAATTATTATTTTTTTTGTAATTGTACTATCTACCTAACATTACAGATACCCTTACAACTTATAATATATTGCACGAATTTCATTACCTTTATATCACACAATAATATAGTTGTTTTAGTCATTTCTACTTTATTCCTACTACATCTCAATATAATACTATTATTTTTAAAACTTCGTGCAAAAGCAAACAGATACCTAGTTATGGGAATGAGAGAGTATCAACTATGCATACGAACAAATAATTTCTAACAATATAATTATATTAAAAATAATTTTGAGTTTTGTTGATGTATTTTTTCAACAAAAATAAAGTAAAATTCAAAGATATAGAAAATATCCTTAAACTTGATTAATTAGTGCCTGAGATTAGGAATCTCTAAACACTGTATGGTACAGAAAATAAACTGGAAAATAAAAGACTGAAATTTAAAGTGGTGATCCCCAAATCTGACTTTGCTTTGTTGAAGTTGATTGAAGATGCCTTGCCAAATGATGATCCAAATCCTTAAATATTCTTTGAAGAAAACGTTCAGAACCGTCGTCTGGTTAGTTACCATAACCGTTGTTAACCGCCCCAAAAGTTCTCTTCTATTGACACGTGTGTCAATCGTTCTACTACGTCCGACCTTCAAAAAACCGTTCGCCAGTTGCAACTTCCTCTAACCGCCCCAGAACTGCTCTCTCACCCGACCTGCACATGCTACTTCACTTGGTCCGAACTTCGTATCACGTCCTGACCTCAATGCCCGACCTGCTTCTTCGCCCGACATCATTTGGGCCGACCTCCGCATCAGCCGCCCTCCGTCTTTGACCGACTTTAATTGGTCCGACCATGGACCAACCAAATGTGGTCCCGACCACGGACCAACCGACCGGCTCTATTTGCCTTATCTCTTTAGAAGGACAGACTGTCCTCTGGACAGACTTCCGCATCTGTCCGTACCTCTTCCTTGCCCGACCTTTCTCTTGACAAACCTTCGCGTCTGCCCGACTTCGTCTTTCACCCGATCTACGGTTTACCCGACTTGGGTACACCTTTTTTTCAGACTCCGCCCGACCTTTCTTCCTTCCCGATCCTTGCATCTGTCCGATTGCACCCTACTTCTGGGTCATTTAACTTATATCCAGACCCGTCCAGAATCCCACTGCCATTATTTATTATTATTATTTTTTGTGCTTAACAATAAGCCTCCTCCTCAAGACTCCTAAACATCACTTTCAGTGATGTTTTAGGAGTTTGCAGGTCAGCATCTGAGGCTACATCAGCCTCAGATCCGACCTCCATCTTCTGAGGCTACGTTGGACCCGACCTCCATTTATCGCGGACTGGTGGTGGTCTGCACATTGATCGATCTTGCACTAACATTGCTTCAGCATCTCCCCCCTGACGGAAGTCATGATTATTTTCTGTAAAAAAGGATTCTAACCTTCTTGCCGTGGATGCTAAACTGGCCAGATCTTGAAAGTCGTGGGCTGTCAGGGCCTCGCGAAGTCTGGTATGCATGTTCCTGACCACCAAATTGGTCATTTCGCTTTCATTGATCATCGTAGGACATCGTCCCTTCATCAATCGCATCCTCTCTATGAATTGGTAGCCGGTCTCTTCCGGCATCTGCGTGATCTCCAGAAGGTCTATCAGTGAGACTGTCGGCAGAGGATTAAAGAACCTTGCATGAAAATCTGCCTCTAAATCTTCCCAAGTTTGCAACTGTCCAGGCGGCAGACTGGCATACCAAGAAAAAGCTGTTCTTGTGAGCGACAACCCAAACAATTGTAACTTGTGAAACGGATTGTTGCCTACTTCTCCCAATTGAGCCGTGAAGCGACCCACATGCTCAATGGTAGAGGCTCCGTCTTCTCCCGAAAAAGAATAGAAGTCTGGTGGCCTATAATTTCTCGGGAGAGGATGATCGTTAATGATCCTTTCTGGAAATGGCCTCTGGTAAACCGGCCTGTTCACCGTTTGCGGATTCATTCCGAAATGCACCCGCAGAACTTGAGCAATATCCTCCGGATCTACTCTGGGTGGAATATGGTCGAACACTGGAATGTGATCGTGAGTCTGACCTCCCAATCTTTCTTCTCTGGAGAAGGCTGGTTCGGCTGGGATGGGATTATGAGTCTGTCCCTCCAACCTTTCTTCTCTAGAGAAGGCTGGTTCGGTTGGAATGGGATTATGAGTCTGTCCTCCTAATCTCTCATTCGGCTGGGTATTATCAACCCTCGGTCCCAAAGGAACATTATCTGGGAAAGTTAGAGGAATCTTCCCCATATCTGTTCGGTTGAAAGTTGTGACGCTTGGAAACGTACTGTCAACGTACGTTGGCCCTGCAAACGTTGATCTTGGAAAAATCGCCTGAAAACGAGCAGGTGACACGGCTGGAAGCATGTTTGGATACAGGGTGAATCTGGAGAATGCCTGATCCACCATGTTCTGTATTAGATTTTGTTGTTCACGCAACATGTTCATTTGTTGCTCATGCAACATGTTCTGCATAACCAAAGTTTGCTGGTTGTTCATTTGTTGAACATAAGACAACCAATCGGTAGGTGGTGGGGGAATCTCCCCTGGATTTGGCATGACTGGTGGTGAAACATTCTCTCCCACCGGTGCTGATGATGATTGAGGTTGTGTGCCTGCCATATTGATTTTTCTGATGATTCGGCCAGACCTCAGTTGTATGACATTTTGTATTGATGTAGGATCAGCAATCTTGCCTTTCTCCCACTGTGGTCGCCAATTTGTTGATGTATTTTTTCAACAAAAATAAAGTAAAATTCAAAGATATAGAAAATATCCTTAAACTTGATTAATTAGTGCCTGAGATTAGGAATCTCTAAACACTGTATGGTACAGAAAATAAACTGGAAAATAAAAGACTGAAATTTAAAGTGGTGATCCCCAAATCTGACTTTGCTTTGTTGAAGTTGATTGAAGATGCCTTGCCAAATGATGATCCAAATCCTTAAATATTCTTTGAAGAAAACGTTCAGAACCGTCGTCTGGTCAGTTACCATAACCGTTGTTAACCGCCCCAAAAGTTCTCTTCTATTGACACGTGTGTCAACCGTTCTACTACGTCCGACCTTCAAAAAACCGTTCGCCAGTTGCAACTTCCTCTAACCGCCCCAGAACTGCTCTCTCACCCGACTTGCACATGCTACTTCACTTGGTCCGAACTTCGTATCACGTCCTGACCTCAATGCCCGACCTGCTTCTTCGCCCGACATCATTTGGGCCGACCTCCGCATCAGCCGCCCTCCGTCTTTGACCGACTTTAATTGGTCCGACCATGGACCAACCAAATGTGGTCCCGACCACGGACCAACCGACCGGCTCTATTTGCTTTATCTCTTTAGAAGGACAGACTGTCCTCTGGACAGACTTCCGCATCTGTCCGTACCTCTTCCTTGCCCGACCTTTCTCTTGACAAACCTTCGCGTCTGCCCGACTTCGTCTTTCACCCGATCTACGGTTTACCCGACTTGGGTACACCTTTTTTTCAGACTCCGCCCGACCTTTCTTCCTTCCCGATCCTTGCATCTGTCCGATTGCACCCTACTTCTGGGTCATTTAACTTATATCCAGACCCGTCCAGAATCCCACTGCCATTATTTATTATTATTATTTTTTGTGCTTAACAAGTTTAATATTCATTATTTTATTATAATATTTTTTAATAAAATATATAAATTTTAATATATGTAGGATCCGGTCTGTGTTCAATTTTAAATTAAAATTTAAGAATTGTAAAAAAAAAATAAAATGGACTTGTCAGATTACCTGATATAGTTTCGATCGGATCCGATATAATCAAGTCCAGTTTGAATCATGAATCTAACAATATATATTTGGTTCTGATCTCAGTTCCGACTAAACTCAACCTATTATCATCTATATAATTTTATAATTCAAATAAAATTTATAATAAATAATAATTTTATTTAAAAAATTATTGTACCATAAAAATAATATAAATTTAATTAAATATATAATTCAAATAATAATTAATATTAAAAATTATTTTATTTTATTTTATTTATAATATGTAATATTACTTTTTTTATAGACTGATATAAAAGTAAAAATTAAAATTCATAAAGATGAGATTTAAAAATAACCGAGTAATTCATCACTAGAGAAATTTTTATTCGTAGAATTTTAGACTCTTTTTATAAATTCCAAACATTTTAAATTCCATCATTTTTTTTTTAACAAAAATAGGTTGATATTTTAAAACATCATTGAACCAAACAGCGTATAGGAATATTCCTTCTACTTCCACGTAATACTATCAACCGCCATAGTTGCTGATTTATCTATTATTGTTTTTCAAGAAATGTTATTAGCTATTTATCATTGAATTTCAAGAAAATAGTCAAAGGTACAACATGTCAATGTACAACTTGAAAAGGGAAGCCATCCCAGCCACGGATTCCCGTTTCGCGAATGGCATATGCCCGCGGCATTTATATTCATTCTCCTTTTAGTTTTTTCGCCTTCTAACTGTTTTGCTCCGCGCATCCTTCATCGTTTTCTCTCACTCATCCAAATTTATCTTTGAAATCAAAGATTCTTTTGTTATATTCTGGAAAATTCAGGCGGCTGTAAATAGTTTAGGCTGTAGATTTATTTTTTTTTCTTCTTCTTTTTCTGTTTTGCTGTACAGAAAAATAAACAATCGCTATGTCTGGAGGAGGAGCAGGAGCAGTTGAGACCGTCGATCTCGAGCTCACCAACGATCTAGCGATCCGAGATGAGGTTTGGAACTTGTTAATTTTTATTTTTATTTTCTTTTTCCTTCTGGTTTTGATGTTTGATTTGTTTTTTTATCGTTCCTCGAGTTAATTCGAATGCCATCATCCAAAAACCTAATTTCTTTATTGTTTGTTTGTGTGGATATTATGAATTTTGGCCATCTGCTTTGAAATTAGGGTTTTGGATGATTAGGCATTCAGCTATATGTGCGTATTTGTTAGAAATTGAGATTGGCTCGAAGTCTCGGTGTTAATTTCATTTGAATATCTCAGCTGATACAGTTTTCTAATCAAGGTTGGAGGAAAGGAGAAATTGAAAAGAAATAAATAAGACGAAGAATAGTCAGATAATTAAAGATTGTAGCATATGGTAGAATTGAGAAATCTCAGCTGTTATTGATTCTTTTCATTTGTGGCTTCTTTATATCTTCATGATCGTTTTTAGGTTTTTGGTTACTATTGGGATCTTTTGTATTGTAATTCCTATTGCGCAGTGTGAATACTGCTTGTGTGGATGTGCATATAGGGTTTGCCTTATTGATTTGAGATTGTGAATTTCAGACTAACGTGGAGGAGGTTAGCCAAGGGGGCAATGACGCCAACAGTCACAGCTTTTGCGCTATATGTTTAAATAAGATAGTGTTGCAAGATATTGCACTCGTAAAAGGTTGCGAGCATTCATACTGGTTTGTCCGAATCTTTATTAATGTTTTGCTATATTTGCATAGACCATATAAAGTTTCTAGAGGCTAAACCCACTAAAGGATTGTCTTAAGTGCAGTGCGAAGAAGTCACTTTATAGATTACGTTTGAAATGCATATGATTGATGAATGGGGTTGCCTTTGACATTGAAGTTTGTTCTTATATGATCATGGCTGGCACTCGATTGGGTTGTTCCTTATTTTTTGGCGCATGGAATATTTGGTACCTTAGACGAACGGGAAAATATGATGGATTTTTTGTTGTTTTATTGGCAAGTCACTATAAATGATTCAAAAGTGGTAGGTAGGATAACTATATTGTTCGAATGTGTTTCATCTGTTTTTCTTCCGTAAGCTGCAATATAACTGCATGTCTTGTGATTATGACATTCGTATTTTTATACGATTTATATCTGCTGCACTCTCAATACGCATTAAACTGTTCGAATGGCTTTCTTTTGCAATCCTTTTGTTTAATGTGCTTTTTTTATGGGCAACTTGCGATTTTTTTTTTTCTTTTTGCCATCTATTCTTATTCTTGCAAACATATTGCCCAGCCTTAGTATTATCAGATATTTTCTTGATTATACTGTGGAACATTTGTAACACCTTGCATAGCTGAATGAATGAAATAGTATATGGTTGTGACTGCTTATTATGTGATGTGATATATGTTTGTTCTGTGTAATGAATTAGCAGTTTTGGTAAATTTTACTTATAAATAGTAGTGAATATATAGGGGCGAAAGCTGCTTGTGAATTTTCTTTTCAAGTAGCTGGCACCACAAATGATTTGCTGAGTAGTTGCTTTATGTTTTGCACAGCATAAATTGCATCCTACGGTGGGCATCTTGCAAGAAAAACCCAACTTGCCCTCAGTGTAAATGCCCGTTTGAGTTCCTTAACATCCACCGTGGTCTAGATGGAAGGTAATCACTTACTTAATGGCTACCTATTATTTATCACTTAATCTGATCATCTCTTACAATGATCTCATCTTCCCACAGAATCCATGACTACATGTTCGAGGAGAGCGTCTGTCTTCTCCTAAGGGCTTCATGGTTTAAACCTGTAGTTGAACTGGAGCAAGAAGAGACCGCAGCTGCAGCTGCCGCCGCTTCCTCTGCCATGGATGACATGGAGGACTATTACTATGACCTCTACGAGGATGAACTTGATAGCAATGTCGGTGATATATACCTCCTCCGTAGATCCCCAGGTCTCCGCATTGGGAATCGGAGGTGGGGCGACAACGGCTATGTCCGAGCAGGACGGCAAGAAGCAAGGCCTGTCGTTCGTTCCACCTCTCCTGACCCAACCTCTGCCGGCTCCTCCCAACCGAATAAACAGACCACTTCTAAAGAAGTTGTCGGCCGCCGTGCAAAGAGGGCTTTGAAGCGGGAAGCTGCCGACAAGGCAGCGGCGGCCAAGCATCAGCAGCATCTTGCCAGGTTTGGCCGGAAGTAGTAGTAGGTCTGTCGTAAGACACTCTGAACTAAAGGCAAAAGCGCCATTTGTCTCTGTACAGTATTTTCTTTAGTAGATTAAATAAGGTGCTTTAGACCAAAGCAGATAATGGGTTGACCGACAATTAGTTTGTCATTGTGTGCTGTAGATTTTCTTTGCATACAAATTCTATCTCCATTCTTTTAACCACATTTCTTATTTTGTGTTTGTTGAATGATTGCTGCGAAGAATTTGTGGCTTTTATTATAGCTAGTGATTGTACCATGTAAATTTAGGAAGCGAATTTTGTTGACAGTAATCGTCTACTATTCATCAAAAAAACAGATGGGTAGAATATGTCGTGAATCAAATATAATATTTTAATTAAAAAATAAATATTAAAAATAATTAAGGCTTTCATATTCATAGTCTTATTTAGTTACTGCACCAACGTCGGCTTTCAGATTCCAGAAAAAAAAGATATGTGGGTTAAACACCACCCTTTTTTTGGAAACGTCCATAAGCAGGTCTTTGGCAATTAATATATTTGAGATTAAGGATAAAGCTTAGCTGAACGTGGAGCATAAATCAGCACGCAAATAGATTGTACAAGGGGACTCTTTCATGAGATGGTTACGAGCTAAATCTCGGATTTTTTCGATTATGGCTGTTGATTATTTCAGCATGCTTTCATCTCAGCAGCAAGAAAGGAAATTGGTAAAAGGAGTGGTTTATCTTAATTAATTTGAATGGTTTCTCAGCTTTTTTCTTCCAACACTGCTGGGAAATCGTCAATGGATTAATAAAGATATATAAGAGCTCTTGGATGGTTATAAAAGAAGAAGAATATATCCTTCCTGTATGAGAGCCTCTTTGGTAAAGTCAGAAGAAGAAGCTGTCTCATATATATATATATGAAACCTCGAAGATGTTCTCTTATAAGCATGGTTCCCGTCGCCGATCGGCCCTAACCGTTCCAGATATGTCGCGGCTTATCGGGCAAATATCGGCCTATATGATTATTTTTTACAAAAATTTGTATTTTTAACAAAAATAATAATAAGCAATTAAAATTCATCAAATCATAAACATAATTATTTTTTAAAATATATAATATTAAAGAACATAACCACGGCGGGTGCATGCCTCAAACTATTAACCTCTCGAACTGATGAAGAAATTTTGTCTGCAATTCTACCGTATACAACAAAATATTAGACAATACCACATGCACTCCATAACTCCTACGACATGTAAAAAATATAACAATGCAAATATCTCCATCCCAACATAACAATGCATATATCTCCATGCCAATAAATAACTATAACAAAGACTCTTTATAGATGGTCTGGAGTCCCGTCATGTGCATAAGCCTTCAAAGATGCACGGCATGAAAGACCAACAACATAAATGTTAAATGTCAGATTTTTGAACAAAAACATAGTAACTGACTTTCATCTAGATAAAGATTCCAAAGCCTAAGATTGTTACATTGAAACCCAACACTAAATTTCCACTATTCTGGATCATTTCATGACCGTCCCCTGAAATTAAATAATCTTTATTAGTTAAATTAAATTCAAGCAACCTCAAGTTGTTACATATAAATAAAATTAGAAATAAAATTTTATAAAATATTTAAACTATGTTTATGTTAAACATTTATACTTACCATTCAATACCTTGTGGAGTGTCGTGGAGCTTCAAAACCATTTTCATTTTCTGATCGATCATAGTATGAATATCCTTCTCTAAATGAACTCCTTCGATATACCAAGTAATAGGGATGATGATATGCATTTGGTTGGTCCCACTCCTGTCTCCCCAATCTATTACTCGAACTCGAATTGTGGGAAGAATCTCCATAGGAATAACCTATATTCAAATCTTGCATATGTTCGTGAACTCCAGAATATCTCCTAGTATCTAAAAAATTTGAAGCATCGGCTTCACTTGAAAATTTTGTTAAACTATTTAGAAAATCTCTTTGAGCTTCTATCCTAGGACGATATCTATGATCAGTGTCTTGGGTAGCATAATAATTTTCATTTCCTTGAACCAATCCTATATCACTTGAGTATCGACTATCTCTATAGTTCCCACTCTCACCGCCACCATCATCGGCACCACCACCACCACCACCGCTACCATCATCACCATCATCATCATCATCATCATCATCATCATCATCATCGTTTCTATTATTCTTATCTTCACCGTTAGTTGTTGAAGATGAAGATTCCAATATGATTGCTTTTTTTTTTCTTACTCATATTTTTGTTTTTTGATTTTTTCTTTTTGGCCTTTTTTTTTTCCATCGGCTATAAATTGAGATAAAAACATATCACTGTCATCATCATTACGTTGACTGTCAATTCGATCTCCACTTTCATCAATAGCCTCATCCAACCAATTCAAATCACTATCATGAATAAGTGGAGATTCATTTCCTTTGACCCATTCATCTAAAATATCATTTTCATAAAAAATATGATTCAAATCAATCGGGTCGTAGAAATCGTCTGTGTCTGTCCTTTGCATAAAAATTCTCACCCGAAGACGCATGTTGTAGTGGACATAGACTAGCTTATGCAGTTTCTCAATAGCTAATCTATTCCGAAGTTTAGTATGGATCAAAGACTACGTACTCCAATTGTGCTCACAACCAGATGATGTGCATGTTTGACTCAAAACTTTTAGTGCAATTTTCCGTAAATTAGGGGCTTCATCACCATACATATTCCACCAGTCAGCTATTAAAAATGGTAAAAAAAAAATTAATAATAATGCACCATATTATAACATGTTAAAAAAAATATAATTGAATGATAAATTTTATAATGCATACCTGGTAAAGATGTAGCTATAGCTCTATTAGCAAGTGCACTTCCAAATTCTCCAATTTTGTTAACAAATGTATTTATCTATAAACAATATAATGTAAAATTATTAGAAATCAATATATAAATATATATTTATGTTTCTATAACAATGCACAAATATATATATATATTTCGTGAAAGCTCAAAAAATTATTTGAAATATTAATTCTAAGTTTCACACATTTTACCTCATTCATAGCCTTTACTTGTATATCCAAATCTGGCTTGAGTCTTTTAATAACTTCTTTTACTCATTTTCGAACCTCCGATTAATCAAATTCACAAGTGCTAGAGTATTGAAGACCAGGATTTAAAAAATAAGCTGCATCAAATATATTTAGAATTAGAAAATAAAATAAATGATTACTACAATGTAAAAAAAAAACAAAACAATTACCTGCAGCATGCAAATCTTGATGCAATTGTTTATACCATCTTTCATCGATGACATCCCAATATTGCTGAAAATCTTTCACTGCGGTTTTAATTGCCATTTTTGCCCTATCCATTGCCTCGTAAATGATAGGTAGTGTAGGTTTTTTATCTTGATCAACTACTTTTAAAACCTTCACCAAAGGTTCCATGACCCACAAACTCGGCGTACCCGTTTCCAAAATCTTTCATTCAGAATCATGTCTGATATATCTTAAGCTTCATGTCTTCTTCTCAAGGTATTATTGTACTCAACCCATTCTCTAGAAGTACACATTCTTTTCAAGTCAGTTGCGTATCTAAGAAGACTTTCCATTGCAACAAACTCGGTTGCAAATCTTGTTATGCCTGGTCACAACAGGTCTCGACCATTCGTATATGTTTTCATCAAATTGACCACTTTATCAATGTTGTATATAAATCTTGTAATTCTTCTGGCTTCTTTTATCGTATCCTTCACCGAAAATATATCTCCGATGTCTTCTAACATCAAATCAATGCAATGCACAACGCATGAAGACCAAAAAATGTGTTTCCTTTTCCTCATCAGTTTTTTCCTAGCAGCCTTCATACTAGCTTCACTATCAGTTACGATTTGTACAATATTGTCAACCTGACACGGCCCGACCGCGTATAATTATAACTAACATAATTTTCTTACCCGCAAAGTTCAATAGAACAAATGGATTAAGAATATGTATAAAAGAAAAGAGAAGGAAGAAGAAAGATAGTGCAGAGAATGTGAATTAGTATAGATGATAACCAACCACGAGAATAAGTCTCAGACTTGAAATCAATCCATAGGTAAAACACAAACAATAGGCTAAATCCCACTGCAAAGGATTGGAAGCCACGAACCGATGAAATCACTCCAAAGACCCGATTTGAGATTCTAAATGCGAGGAAATCACTCCCCAACACTAGAGAATTATAAAAGTGAAATTCGATTCAAGATGTAAAAAAAGGTCCGCATTACAATGATAGGCAAGGACCTTATATAGAGGTCTTTGAGGAAAATAAAAGGCAACAAATGATAAAGGAAACAAACCAAAAGGTAAGTCTAACTATAAGGAAATAAATAATTAGGGAAGTTTTAGATATGGAATTATACTATATGGAAACTTATAATAAAAGGAAATAAGTGATGATTCCCTTGATATACTTCCATGATTAGTGATTCTCTCCATAAGTGATGATTCCCTTGATATACTTCCATGATTAGTGATTCTCTCCATAAGTGAGGATTCCCTTGATATACTTCCATGATTAGTGATTCTCTCCATAAGTGATGATTCCCTTGATAACTTTCCATGATTAGCGATTCTCTTGATCTTTCAATTGGGATTCTTGCGGGTCCCATTGAAGGAGCATCAGATGAGGGCTTAGTGGTCTCCAAGCATCATCCTTAAATTGATTCTCCATGAAAAATCGTTTGATCAATGCAGTGAGGGATTTTTTAAATTGACGAGCTCGGCTTCGAGTGATGGGTCCCACGGGCATTTGAATGCTTGAAGATTGGACGTCCTCGTCATTCCCTCCTTCGAAAAGGCTTAAGTCAGAAACATTAAAAGTAGCATGAACTTGGTACTCACCTGGGAGTTCAAGTTTGTAGGCATTATCATTAATGCGTTCCAACACTCGAAAAGGTCCATCGCCACGGGGAGTAAGTTTTGACTTTCGCAATTCTGGAAATCTTTCCTTCCTTAAGTGTAGCCAAAACCAATCTCCTATCTCAAAAACAACTTTCTTGAGCCCACGGTTAGCTTGTTTTGCGTGATTGTCAGCTGCCTTTCTTAGGTTATCCCGAACTTGAGAATGAAGTTGTTGTACAAATTCAGCCCTTTTTCTGCCATCAAAACTAACGTGCTCATTGCGTGGCAATGGCATAAGATCAAGAGGAGTTAATGGGTTA